GCTGGGTAATTTTTTTTTCTTCCCCCAAAGAGTAGCTCTCTAGAGGCAAGAGCAGTGCAAAATGAGATAGACAAAAAGGGGAGGGATTTTTAATGACTTGCAGTCTGGATTTTAATTATATTTATTTTAATAGCTGTGTATCACTTTGTGGTTAGCCTTGTTCTTAGCATTATTCACTGATAAAGAGAAATGTAAGACCATAATTTTCCACAGAAAGTCTACACTAGATCTGAATGACTAATTATGAAATAAATTAATGTTTTCATAGCACTACATAATTTACAAATTGCTTGTATTTGTGAGTGTATTATATATATGAATATATTATAGATAATACACATACATGTCTACATATACACCTATGTTTGTATGCATTTCTTCTTTTATTTAATTCTCACAACAACCCTCTAGGGTAAGTAGTATTATCATTATTTCATTTTACAGGCATAAAAGAAAGCCAAGCAAACTGGCTCAAAACTTCCTGTATATTATTACCTCATCACTGCGCTCACCACTCTGTGTAATCAACCTGTGTATGTGTTCATCTTCCCTAGCGGACCAAGGGCTGTTGATCCTGGATGGAGTCTTCTTTACCTTTATATTGCCAGCACCCAGCAGTTGCTGATCATTACTGCATCTCAGCTCCTTATCTCCAGGTTACCCACATTGTCACAGAATAAATGTTCTCCAGGCCTCCTTAGGCCACCTGTCAGTCTTCACTGCTGGTGCTTGGGAGGTCCCAATGCCCCCAGCTGGGGTGCATTTCTCAGATGCTAGATCAGGGTGCCCTGCCTGGGTTTTCTCACTATCCCCCACCTTTGTTCCCTTAACCCCTTGCCTGCAAACTACCTGCTAGGCGCAGATGGCTTCAGCTCTCCCAAAGGCTATCGGCAGGCTTCTCAAAGGCCCAGCTCATCCGAGCTGAGGAACCCACGACAACAGTAACTAACAATTCTGAGATTCTTCTGTAGGTAAGTCCATGTACTCATCTCTTTATGTACACTGTTTCATGTATACCTCATGAGAACCTATATATTATTGCAGATGAGAAAATAGGTTGCAAGAAGTAGTGATTTGCCCAAGATCACACATCCAGCAAGTGGCAGAACTGGGACTTGAAGCCAGATCCCTCTGAGTCCTGTCTCCTTAACTGTTAAGACTAAATGGACTGCTTATCTTCCTGGGTGCCCTTGTTAAGGGGCCTGCCTTCTTTGGAGTGCTGAATAGGATGTTTGAGGAAGTCAATAAATCTGTCCAAGGACAAAGTGGTGGAGAGGGCTTTGCAATTACTCATTTTATTCCTAGTTTCTTTTTCCCACAGCCTCCTCCAGACTGCGTTCCTTAAAGCTGGCACTGGGCTTTATTTGTTTGTGCCTTATGCTGAACACATTGCCAGAAACAGGGTAGGTGCTCTACAAATGCTGGATGAATAAATGAATAAAGGAATTTCTTTGCCCATATGCAACTTGTATGTACCAAGCTAACTACTACGATTCCTTCTATGATACAGTCTCATTTCCTCAGTCACTGGGTATAGAGATTTTCTCCAATTGAAAATAATTTTGAAAGTAGCTATCACACATCTGAAAATGGTAAAGGAGGGACTACACTTTCGAGTGCAGCACATAGAATGATTTTGGTGACAGCCATGTAGTCCCTACAAGGACCTGAAACAAATAACAAAGGAGGGAAGGTTAATCTTTGGGTCCTTTCCATCTCTTTCAGGCCCCCTATCCTGTGCCCTGAGTCATCCTTTCCTTTGTCTTCTGAGGAACTGATGACGTTTTTAACAATTCAAAGTCCTACTTGTCCTCTAGTTGATTGTGTTTCAAAGTTTCTGTCTTTCTCCATTCCCTCAACATATCTATGTCTTCCCTGGCTTATGTCTTCCAGGGGTATAATTATTTTATTGTGCAATTTATGTTGATTTATGAATGACTGATAAACATTAATCCTTTGGTTTTATTTTTGATTAAGAAAAAAATATTTAACCCAAATGATTTTTAAATAGTAAAATAAGAGGAGGGGGGGATAATGAACAGGGTTAGAGTGGATGAGGGTGGAAATACTGTTTATATCAGGAGCAGGATCGGGCTGCTTATAATGGAAAGTCAAATAAAGTGGCTTAAAGAAAACAGGTTTGTTTCTTATGTCAAGGAAATGCAGGACAGCCATCCAGGGAGAAATGGGAGCACCGTAATCATCCAGGGCCACGCTTCTATCATTTTGCTCCACCATCCCCAATGTGTACCTCCCCTTTTCAAGTTCAATTCATGTTCCAAGATGGCCACTGAAAGGTAGTAGTCCAAAAGTAGAAAGGAGGGAAGAATACCAAAGTTACAGTTGCTGCCCACTGTCTGTCCCCCTTTGAAGGCACTTTCTAGGGAATCCCACTTAGTCATGTTCACTTCCATCACACTGGCCACCCTTAGCTGCAAGGAAGGATATACATATAGACTTTTAGTTGAGCATATTTTTACCTGGACTAAAATCAAGCTTCTTTTTGTAAAGAAAAGGAAGAGAATGGATAGGGAGGTGATTTTGGCACCATTGCCCAGCTCTTTGAGTCAGTACTCAAGCTTCACTGGATTTCTGAGTTCTCCAGAGCACATCTGGGGCTTCAAGTCAGGGAACAGAGCTCAGAGTAAGGCATCTTTTCCACTGTAATTTCCACCTCCAATTCCTTCTCTGGATCCCTGGATACAATTGCTCTAGAAAGTTAACTAACAAATAAGCATCAATGTGAATCTAAAAGTCAGCTTCAAGTAGGGAATGAGAATTCCCAAGAATTTCAGTAGATGCAATCCTGTCTAACCACAGCTGGTACACAGAAAAGTTTTTGAACTGAGTGAAATTAAATGAATAAAAGGAAAGCGGCATGTTCCCCCCCCCCCAGGTCAGGAAAATTAAATTCACCAGCCCTTGGTTGAATGTCTGCTATAGTCAATCCCTTCTGTTTCCAGCCTCAATTGCAGTACTCTGCTCAATAAACACCCATACCTCCCCTTTCATTACTGTCACCTGGTTATTTAGTGGTTTCTGTCAAAGAGGTCAAACATGTGCAGGGATGGATGCAAAAACAAATACGCCAACACCGTTTCATCTTAGGATGAGTCATGGTAAGAGCCAATTTTAAAGGACATTTTGCATTAAAATAAAGAGGCACTCCATATTTGCTTAGTCCTTTACCAAGTTATTTACATAAGGCATAGAAGAAAAAAAAATCTGATATGATCCTTTCTTTTAATCTCACTAGGAAGATAAAACATAAAATAGTGAAATAGGTATGAAACAAGTAAATCTAATAGGTCAGCGATGCGGTATAGGTGACTACCAGAAGAGGGGAGGCTTAGAGAAAAGGAGACTGATGAACTACGGCGGGTAGTCCAGTGTGCAAAAAGAGGATAGATAGATAAGAACAGCATAGTTCAGCCTGACAATGAAATCAGGGTCCATCATGAGGCTTCAAGCCAAAATGGAGAAGTAAGGGAAGCTCGGAGTTGAAGTGGGCGACAGGAGTGGTGCCTTGATACCCAGCCCAGGCAAGAGGGTATAACTAGGAATTTGGTTATTAAGTCAAATGTTGGGGTATAAAAGTCAAACCAGGGATGAATAATAGTAGGAGAATATGGTACAGACTAAAGTACCTATTTTAGATTTTAGCACAAACAAGTCTGTTCAATAGGGACAGAGATGAGATTGATAATCACAAGATAAGGACCATTACTCCCTCCATTCTGGTTCTAAGCCCCTTACTATGGGAAAATAGATATGTTCTGGGAGTTATGAGCAGTGACCAGGGGAGCAAGGGGTCTATGACAGCTTGGGTTGTGACTGCAGCCAAGCAGGAGATGTTGTCAGATGATTCTAATAGTTCTAGTTCTACATCAGACTACATAAGTCTGATGCCAGGTTATTTCAATTTCTTCTACGGACAATGACTAATTTTTGTTCACTTCACTGAAGATGGTAGCTTTGACATTGTACCTAGAGAATCTCTGATTTCAGGGGAGCATTTTCAGACATTTGGAGGAAAGACCTTGTTGAAGAGCAAGGCATCAAGCTCTTTACCTCTGGAAAGGAAGCTGTGTGGGACAGAGGTACGCATGCCGCGGATATACAGTTAGGCAGCAGAAGCTCCATTGGTCTCCACAGACACCAACAATAGGTCTTATTTTCAGTGCCTGGGTCAGAACTATATGGCCTCTGGAGAATAAGTGATACATCTTACAACCTGGGTAACAAGGCGAGATGAGTGGTCTGCAAAAGATTGAAGAAATGCTTTACATTTCCATTGAAGCAGGTATATGTGGAGTATTAACATTTACAGTGTGCCTACTATGTGCCCTGCACAGCATCAAGTGCTTTCAGTATAGGTAGCTGCCATGTTTTGAGCATTTCCTATGTGCCAAGCAGGGTGCTAAGTGCAAGAAGAATATATCTTCCACTTATCTGCTTAGAGGAGCATGCTTGAGCCTGAACTTTACATATCTTATCATAACCCTGCAGGTCACCTACTATTGTTTTATGTGCAGTAAATAAATAAATACATACATAGATAAATAAATAATAACACAAAAAAACTAGGGCTCAGAGTGGTTAAATAACTTGCCCAGAATGTCAAAATCAATTAAATGACAAAGTTAGAATTTCTTTCTGGAGCAGTAAGCCTGTGATCTTTCCATGATACCCGCTATAATTTGCTTCAGAGCAGAGACCACATCTTATTTTATCTTTATGCACCAAATATTAGAAAAATAGCAACTTGTGCTTCCGCCATAATGAGGATGAGCATGCTGAAGAAGTGGGTGTGGAACTCTTTGCTAACAACAAAACTTTGCTTTCAAGATGGCTTCCTCAGCTCCAGCCATTTTTTTCATTGGCACGTTGGATTTCCTGTCAGATCCAGAGCTTAGCTTATTGATTCTATTTGTCTTGCTTTCTCTTACAGCAGCCACCTTTCAGGAATCTGATGAGAGTCACACTAGGACTTAGGCAGCCTGTGGTCTTGAGGTTTGAAATTCCCGGAGCAGCCAGTGTGGGGACAGTTCTTAAAGGTAATTAGCTCAGTTAACCACCCTCTTCTCTCAAAGTCTCAAGAGCTTGGCAGGAGAAGCTGTGGAAAGTGTGAGGCAAGGAACTGAATTCATCCTGCTTGACAATCATCAGTCAGCAGGACGAAGTGCTTTCTAACAGAGTGAGCTGGCTGCCCTCTGTGTACAGAATAGCACTGTTGCCTGGGGTTGTCAGGAAGCCTGGTGTGCTGATCCAGCCGTTACCTCACTGCCCCTCATGAGATTCACGGGCCCTAGAAAGAGCACAGGAGCTGGTGGAAGGCTCCAGCCCAGCCCACCTGCCCCAAGGTCAAGGAGCCAGGAGACAGTCTTGGGAGCTCTGACAGCAGTGTCACAAATCAGGAGACCTGGCTGCCTTGTGGGGAGACAGAAGCTCCAGCCTGGTGCCTAGACAGCCTCCATTGTGAGCTGGTGATGATAGGCAGGCACGTCTCCCCTGGGGCAATCACACATATTTATTGATGTGGAAGCACTGATCTCATTCTTTTTTAAATAACATACTGTCTTGGTAACTCATTAAATCGTAGTCATTTGCAGCTGGCTACCAGAAATCAAGAGAAGGAAGCTACCTTCTTCTTAAGGTTCCTAATAAGAACTTGACATTACTGAACACCTTCCTAAAAGAACCTCAAATTCATCCTACCCTCAATTTACAGATGGTTAAATGGAAGCATCACTTAAGTAGCTTACCTGTGGCATAGAGTAAGTTTGGAGGGAAAAGGTAGAACCTAGGTAGAAGGTGTATGGGAACTCTGTACTTTCTGCTCAGTTTTGCTGTGGACCTAAAACTGCTTTAAAAATAAAATGTTATTATTTAAAAAAGGCAAGTAGAGCCTGTACATAGCCATTCTGATTTCTCCCTAGGCAAAATCCTTTTTCATTTGAGTTACAGAAGGTGCCAGGTCTTAGGATATTCATAGCTTTCAAGAAGTCTATTCCCCCAACCCTGCTAACAAAACTAATTGATTTGCATTCATTTAAAAAAGCAATACAGTAACTTTCTTTCAGCAACAACTAGAAAGACCCAAGGTAGCTTTCTATACAGATCACCTGGTACTGTGCTAGGTTGTAGGGTGAGGTGTGAAGAATGTAATTTCAAAAGTACTTATATAACATGCTAGGCTTATGGTTTATGCATTGCATCACATTGTTTTCCAAAGTAAAGAATAATCTCCAATTTAGCTCCAAGTTTTCAATCCAGATTGCTACATAATGTGTTGAATTAAAATGCAACATATGTACAAACTACATTAGCTCAGTTTTCTCTTACTTCACTGACTGCTCCTTCTCAGTCTCCTTGTCTAGATCCTCCTCTTCTCCCAGACCTCTTACCATAGGAGTACCTGAAGGCCCATTCCTTGCTCCTTTCCCTCTCTAACCAAACTCATTGCCTTGGTGATTCCACCCAGTCTCGTGTCTTTCTGTGCCTTTCCAAACACATGCCTTAATTCCAGACCTCTCTCCTGAACTCCAGGCGTGCCCAGGTGACATCTTCAACTCAGCATATCAGAGACAGAACTCCTGATTGCCTCCCACAAACCGGCTCTACTCACAGCCACCCCATATCTTTGATGGAAATTTTATCTTTCCGTGTTCAGACCAATGACCTTGGAGTCATTCTGGGTTCCTGTCTTTCTCTCTCTCTTCATACCACCAGTCAGGACATCCTGTTGGCTCTCGCATCAAAGTACATCCACAGTCTAACCATTTCCTCCACTGCCGTTGTTACCACCATGGTCTGAGCCAGCCACAGCTCCAACCTGGATTTCTGCACTAACATCCTGATTCTTCTCCCTTGGGTCTATTTTCAACATGGCTGTCAGAGTTATTATCTTAAAATATTAAGTTAGATTATCTTACTCCTCTGTTCAAAATTCTCTAATGCCTTCCCATCTTGCCCAGAGTAAAGTTGATACAAACTCCACATCACACAGCCCTTCTTATATCCCAGTGCTCCCTTCCCTCTTTGAGCTCATCTTCTACAATTTTATCCCATTAGGACTCTGTGCAAGCCAAGATCCAGCCACCATGGGCCTTTGCACCAGCTGTTTCTCCTATTTGGAATGCTCTTCTTTTAAATATCTGCATAGTTATGCCCCTCACCTTATTCCAGCTTTTCTCAAGCCTCAAGAGGGCAAATTTTCCTTTCTACACTAATTCATAGAAATGAGAGAAGAGTTACTTTTTTGTGTAATAAAACACATGTATAGTTGTTCTCAAAAATAGAAGAGGAACTCTCAGCACGGTGGAAATAGGGAGCACTTTCCGAAAGGATAGAAAGCCATGGGCTTGGGTTAGAGCACAAAACTGCAGCCCAGGAGGTGAGCAATGGTAAATACAGAGCACTGCCATAGAAGGTGGAGATGGTAAAAACTTGAAGAAGGTGAGAGGGCTAACGATGCAGAATTTAAAGGAAGAGCACTCCAGGCAGAAGGAACAGCTGGTGCCAAGCCCCTGAGGTGAAAGTGTGCTTGGTGGGAGCAGGCAGGGGCTCCACATCCAGAGACAGTGAAGGTGTGGACTAGAGGGAGAGCCCAAGACACCCAAACCCTTACAACTCTGCCTCTGTCTTCTCATGCCCCAGAGAGTATGTGGGGCCCAGGCTCCAATATGACAGGCGTCAAGGAGAATCAGGAAGGGGAGAAGGTAGGTCACGGCGCTTAGGAAGAAGAAGGACACAGAGAACCTTAAACAGAATGGTATAGCAGCATGGTTAGAACAAAAGTTAAATTTTAGGATTCACCAGAAGAAACTGGAAGATCAGGATTAGGGTCAGTGGGTTTAATGTTTAGACTCTAAACGACTAATGCAGAAGGCCTGGAGGTCTTCTGAAAAGGAAGATGGTATGCAAGGGGAATAAAGATAGTCCCTAATGGAAAGGCTAATGTAAGCTGCCCTCTGATGCAAGCCCCTCCCTGTTAATAATAAAAATGTTTGCCAAGCAGGAAGGAACTCCTAGGGGAGGGGGCATAGGGTGTGCCCCTTAGAGAGGAGAGAGGCCCTGGAACTTTGGACAGCCATGAGGAGGCGGGGCCGTAAGAAGATAGGAAAGCACCATGGGGAGACCACTTCACCCCCACAGTCCTGCTCCCCTGGGGGTGTGCAAGGATATCCCTCTTTTATGTACTTATTCCAGTTCTGTGTTGCTGGCAAAGCAGCCAGGAGAGGAGCAGGAAATTTCTTTTTGAACAAAAAGAAAGTTCAATTTTCTTTTTGAACTTGTTTACTTATATTAAAAAGAGGTGATGTTATTTGTTGTTCTACATTAAAATTGGTTCCCAAGTTATCTGTCCTATATAATTATTGTGCAGGGAAGTCACTTCATGACATTTTCCAAAAGGGTGTCTTAGTTACTTGTATGTTCATGTAACTTTAATATTCCTAGAAAATATGTGAAATGACAAACTTAAATAATCAAATAACACCATATTTAATAAATTCTTATACATTATAACATATTACAGGGAGTCTAAGACAGAGGAAAATGAAATCTTTTCCACATCAACTTGTAAACATAACAGAGAAGTGTTTATATAATACTTTGACTATCAGAAATTGCCATGCAAGTAAAACCCACTTGTATCACTGTTTCATAATACTTTCTCACCTGCGAGATTTCTGATAATAAAGCCCTGGCTTCCTGTCCTCAGCTGAGTGGTTTTCACAGACACCATTTTGGGGAACGTCATAAAGTGCCTTCGCTGCCTGCCTGATAATTACACAGCAGGATAGAGAGAGATTTGTGGGCTGGTTTTAATGCAGAACACCTAATAACATCATCTCCTTCTCAACTCTTGACCTTGTGGAATCACTGACTCCTTTTTCTTACTTTCAGTTTCAGAAAGCCTGGTCCTTGCTTTCTATGTGGCCATTCATTCATTTTCTCATCCATAAACCAGCTATTTAGTACTAGACACTGAGCTAGGCTCTGAAGCTAAAAGGCAATAAGGCACCACCCATATCTTCAAGAAGCCTGCTGTCTGGTGGGGGAGACAGACAACTGAGACAATTCCTGGGCAAGGTGTTAAATGTCATGATGGCCACTCTTATGAGAGCCTGGAGTAGACATCCTCATCACCCTAGAGCCAGTTAAGTCAGACCCCTAAATTAACTCTGAATTCAAATAGAAGAGAAGGGCATTTCAAGCAGAGAGACTGGGTTGCACAAGGGCTTAGAGACCAAGACAGTATGGTCTGGGTGAAAAGTCTCTCTGAATCTCCTGGGCACAGAGAGCTTTTCTGAATCTTCCTTGTAGAAGGAAGCAGGGGGCACTCCCTGGTGTGGAGACCCCACTTCATCATGGAAGCTCAGCAAACCTGTGCCGGGTTCTGGGTCCTAGCTTCTCTCCCAGCTCCCACAAGGAAAGCACATTTCTCTGCAGCTTAGAAATAGATGCAGGAAGGCTGAATACTGAAAAAACTCAGATGTGAGTAATTGCAATGAGCAGACTGCAAGCTGTCCATCCCCCTTTCCACATGGGGGGAAAGTCAGACACTTGCCAGGCACTAGACAGACGCTGATGTTCCTGCTTCTGGGATAAACATAATGGCCACTTAGTATAGGCTCCCCCAGTAGAAAGGAAATGAGAAGCAACCTTCTGGAGTAGACAGGGAAGCTCTGTTTCTTACTGTCCTTATGTGTTGTGGTTTGTGGGCCCCTGGAAGGCTTGCCTGGACAATATATCTGCTCACCAGTTTCTTGAGTTCTCTACTGGTTAAGGTTTTGAGGACCTCTGTTAAAAAGCACAAATGTTATCATGGTGAGATGATCCATTAAGGTGATATCAGATGGTTGCTTTAGCTTGAATTCAGTGATATCAAGCAGGATCTGAGGAATAAGACACAGAAATAGGCAAAATTTAATGGAGAAAAGGAAATTCAAAAAAGTATGGAGCATGGGGTAGGGTAGATGAAGGGTAGTAACAGGAGGCTATTTGTGCCCTTTGGGGAAAGGGTTTTGCTTGAGAGGAGAAGATGATCAAAAGAGTAGGGAGACAAAATTTCCCCCTCACAGCTTTGCACAGGGCCAGACTTCCTATACTGAACAACTAGAAGCAACAGCTTTTGTCATCCATTGGCTGATAGTATAACACATGGATTCCATCTATCTCAAAGAAAGAGGGAACTACTCAGAGGTGACAAGAGCCTAGTTTTAGATGGACACCATTGTATAACAGACATCACAGAGGCCTAAATGTTGTGATTAAATGAATATGTGGCATCAGAGCTGCTTTGCTGCTTCCTGTTTAGAAGTAGTTATCTGACATCATTCTTCATTCCCTTTCATCTATTCCTCCCCCACTATATTTGTTTCCTATTGCTGTGTAACAAATTACCTCAAGTTTTGTGAGGGCAATTAAACAACACACATTTATTATCTCACAATTTCTGTAAGTCAGGAGTTTGGAGTTTGGGCATGACTTGAGTCCTCTTCTCAGGGTCTCACAAGTTGTTGGCGGGGCTGTGTTCTCATCTGATGTTCAATTGTAGAAGAGTTCACTTTCAAACTCATTCAGGTTGTTGGCAGAATGCATTTCCTTGTAGCTGTGTGATCACATGTCCCAGCCTTTTGCTGGCTGTAGGCTGGAGGCAGATCTCAGGTCCTAGAGCTTTCCCCATTCCTAGGGGTCACCCATCATTTGTTGTTACATGGGCTTCAACATGGCTGCTTATTTCATCAGGCCAGCAAGGAGAGTTTCTTGCTCTATTCTGCTAAAATGGAATCTTATATAACCTGAAGTAATCCTGGGAGTGACATCCCATCACCTTTCCCATAGTCTGTTGCCTAGAATCAAGTCACAGGTGAGAGTGTGTCCCACTCACACTCAATTGGAGGTTATTATACAGGGAGTGGACACAAGGGGGCAAGAATTATGAGGGACAACCTATACCCACCTTTAGTGTTGTGCCTGGGTGGCTGCCCCTAACATTACTTCTAAATTATATTCTCATCCTCCACTCCTAGGGAAAATTCTTCAGCTCAAAAAGACGCTGGTATCACTGAGTGTGAATCTGCCAAATACTTAAGCTTGAATTAATCATCTTAGAATATGAAGGTGGGCTGGCCAAGTGGCGCCTTGGTTAAGAGTGGTTGAGCAGCAGGGCCCCGGTTGGATCCCACATGAGGGCCAGTGACACTGCACCCTCTACAGCTAAGATGGTGAACAACAGCTCAACCTGGAGCTGGGCTGCTGTGAGTCACCAGTAATGGTGTAGGCTACAGGGGGGCTGGTCAGCAGTTGGCGTGCACTTTTGTGAGCTGCCAAGAGCCGCCGTGAGCGGCTGTCCAATGTCCGGCAAGTGACTGCCTCACCCGGGAGGAGTGCAATGATCACAAACAATACCAACATGGGCCAGTGAAGCAACGTCCTCCACAACTAGACTGAAGAACAAAAAGGACAGCAACTTGTCATTCCCCTTCCCTGATTCCCCAATGCTGTTCCCCTCCCCCAATTTCCCAATAAAAATCTTAAAAATAAAAAAAGAAGAATATGAAGGCACTTAGATCTGAAGCTTTCATCACCTGAGTAGCTTTCTCTTCACTGAGAAAGTGATACTTAACGCTGTAATCTGCTTCTCATGCTGAATCCAGGCTTGCTGTTATTCTTCTTGCTCCTTCTATCCCACGGCATCTGTATTTATAGCAGCTCCTCTTTCAGGAAAACAATTTCACCACAATTTTTGGCTTCTTGTTTTCCTTCCTTGACTGAGCGCATGACGAACTGCTCCATCCCAGGGGGCTGTTTTTACCTGCAGTCTTTGAATTATTATATTACTGGCCAGCTTCGCGTACTTGGTCCCCTCACGCTCTTCATTTCTCCACTAATGTGATTTTGTTTTGTGAGTCCTTGGTTTTGTCTTCCTGCATCTCACCTGCCTCTTGGGAAATTATCAGCTGTGAGTGAAATAGCACAGTCTGCACCAGTCCTGAACTCTGAGAAATGCTTTCTGCATAGTCAGTTGAAAAGGTATCAGGCTAAGAAAAACACCACCAATTGCAACCTAAGCCCCAAACAGCTGCTGGTGCAGCCTAATGAATGCAGTGCTCACTGGGATTGTTTAGGATTTCTGCATTTCTCAAATAGTGAACAAGAACCGATCCTTTCTTACTCCTGCGTTTTCCCTCTCTCTCCCACATGTGCTTCAACTTTTTTTTTCTTTCCACATTACCTCTGGACTTTAGTTTTTGCCAAATGTTTTAGGTCCCACAGGCCTGACTTTTTCTAGTCTCTACCATGAACCAAAGACTCTAATCCATTACTTGGTGGCCATCTCCCACGTGAGACCAACTCTTTGTGCTCCAAAGGGACCAATTAGGAAACTATTTTTCTTTCCCTATAGGAATTTCATCACAGCTCAAAATAACTCAGCCAGCTTCCAGAAGTTTCTTTCTCCCAGCGTGTTTAGCAGCAGGAAGAGTCAAATGTTCCTTAGTGCCTATGGCTCACTCCCCATATACACAAACAGGTTTGACGAAATTCAGATTTTAAAAAAACATTCAGCTGAGATTAGAAAATCCCAAATGTTTTTCAGCTTGAAGTTTCCACTTCTCAACCTACTGTTTTTATATCCTGTTGGCTTAGCCTAAGCCACTGACTATTTGGAAGTTGTGTTGGTAGGAGGCTTGTTTATTTTCCAGGCCACTAGGAGACCTTGTGGGATATGACTTTTATGGCTCTGTATCAAATTCATCAGTAATTATGTGTGCACTGCAGTACACAGAGGAAAGACTAATCCTTGTTAAGGTATTATGATGTGAGAGACACTGCTTGATGAGTTTATTCTCAATGGGTAATAAATATACAGCCTACAAACATTACTCTTAGACACATACAGATAATATATATTAACTACATACAGTATTTTATATAATGTGTAGCTTATATTATATATTTACTGCAGTATGTATTGACCATGTATAATATGTATAACATGTCTAGATATTTATATATCCATCCAAAGTAATACTTGCATGCTAGTAGTAAAAAGCCACAATCCCCTCCATGACCCCTCATTCACCTCTGCTAGTCCCTTTTCTCAGAAATAACCAATTTTTAATAATTTCTATTTTGGATTCTCTGGTGGTTATCGTAAATAACATGCTTATATTGTTGTTTCTGTTTTTGTAGACTTTAGACATTTAACTACTGACTTCATACTGTAATCTATGAGAGGTTAGCTACTGTTTTTCTCTACCTCTCTCCCTGGAAAGTTTTAGAATATTCTTTTAACCTTCGGTGTTCTAAGGTTTCACTACATTGTATGGAGGGGTATGTACGAAGGTTTATTATGGTGGGCACCGACTACGTCCTTTATATTTAAAAATACTCTCCCCTCGACTCTGGGAAATTTTTGTGTTGGATTTGTTTTTGATAATTTCCTGCCCTGTGTTATCTCTGTTCTCTCTCTTTCCAAGATTCCTGTGAATGAAATGTCAGATCTCCTAGGACTGATCTTTAATGTTTCTTGATTTTTGCTCATATTTTCTCCCTAATCATTTATTCCATTTTCTAGATGCTTTCCTCAACTTGGTTTTACACCCCATCTACTGAATATTCAATTTCAGCATCTTATTTTTAACTTTCAAAATATCCTTTTTGTGCTTTGATTATGTCACATATCATCATATTCTTGTTTTATCCATGTCGAATAATCTTGAGTACTTCTGAGTAAATGAAATTCATTTTTTTCCTGCAAGTTCTCTTCTACTCCCTTAGTGCTCTTTTTCCTCTTGGGAACAGAAGATGTCTATTTATCTTGGTGTTTCTTTTTCTTTTTGCAGACTTTCTCAAGGGCCTGGAGATATCTGGCTGTCTGTCTAGATATCAGGACGAGCAACAAGCAGACTGACCAGGAGCTCCGTGTGCCCTGCAGGATGTGTCAGTGGGCAGGCTTGCTCCAATTGAATGCTGTGGGGCCTACAGAGGTGGCGGAGGGCCCCAGGTAATGAATGAGGAAGGCCTTATGGGTCACTAACACCCACACTGACTACCCTAGTTCTTCCCCATACCATTCATTCTATTCTGTTAGAGTAGAGCTTTTGGATTATTTTGCTTACGTGCTAGGACCTGGATTTCTATTGCTTATAGAGGTGAGGGATAGGTGCAGCTAAGGCCACCTCTTCTATACATGGATATAGACCTTCTACTTCCGTGTTACCTTTCTACTCCCGCGTTTTGAAATCCACAGCCTGTTTTATTTTGCAGAGCAGGTCAGCTACCTCCTGTGCTGCTGGATGTTATTCACATTCAAGGTTTCTTTTGTGCCTTCCTCCCCTTTACTTCATTAACTGACACTTTTCCTTCTACTTTCTGTATTCTACAAATTGATTGAAAACTCTCATCCTTCATTTCATTGTTTCTCAGGTGTGTTTTTTTTTGTTTTTGTTTTTTAGTGTCCTGTTAATGGGGCCTCAGTGAAGAGAGGTGATAAACACATACGGTCAGTGCATGATCCTGAACTGGAAATCAGAATGAGAATCATATTCCAGTTGTTTCTTTCTGGCACACAGGTAGTTAGTGCCTGCTGGGTATTTTTGTTTCGTTTTATTTGGTTTTGTTTTACTGAACTGTAGGATATCGATGAAGCTTTAAATATTAAAATCACACCAGAGTGAGTTAAAAAATTACTGTGAATATCCATGTCCTCTATAAATGAGGATTACAGTACCTACCTTACTTAGCTGTTATGAGAATGCAAGGATTATATATGTATATGCCCAGCACAATGCCCAGCTCTTAGAAGGGACTAAATTAAAACTAGTTCTTTCTCTGCTCCCTTGTCACCTGCTGAATATTTGTACTAGCATAAAATAACATGTTTTTTAAATTGAATTATTTCATATCTCACCCCAACTCCTGCCTATAGCAGCCAAAGAGTTCACATACACAAAGCGAAGATTCTTAGTAGGCACAGAGTGCCCCCTCTGCTAGTGATGGGAGTGTTGAGGTTGCTGACTCCTTTTTGGTTGCTGTAAATAGTAGACTAAACACAATTGGGCACTCAGTAGGTTTTGGTTATTATCATTGGCTTATTGTTATTTTTCTTGCCTCTACTATTTGAACTCCAGTTTGGTAGGTAATAGAAGGAAACATTCTCCAAATTTTGTGCAGCTAATGGATTTTGCAATTACTGGTTTTAGACATGTCTTTTAATAGACTTCAGCTAATTGCTTCATTTGGAAGGAGTCAGTATGCAGTGAGCCCAAGTGCTGAAAGAAGGAGCAATGATCGTCTGGTGCCAGAGGTGACTCTAGCCTGGAGGACACAGCACACAGAGTCAGCTCATGAATCAAGAATGAACTCCATACTGTAAATAAGCCGAGAAACATTACACCAAGCCAGGGCTGAGTTGACACATGCTCTGGGCATCATTAGCTAGTTAAGTCTTGCAGAAATATGAGGATCATGGCCGGGTAGAGGCCTTTCTTATGATTCATTTATTCCTAAAGCTGTCTTTGGCTGAGGCACTGCAGCCTGGGGAAGCAGTGTGTAGGGGTAGAATGAGTGACATTTAGGAGATAGAGCCCTGGATTCAGCCTTGACCTTACCTTAGCTTTTATTTCCTTTGGCTAATTATATCACACCTCTAAGCCTTAGTTTCCTTATCTGAAAGAAGGGATTAATAATACTTACCACACAGGGTTGTGGTAAGGATTGAAATTTAAGGTGCAAAGCAGCATGCTTGACACATAGTAGATTCACAGTATATGTTAGTTGCTGTCCCTCTTTACTCCATAACTTGGTGGCTTTTCCCATAAGGAAACAAGACAGCAATTACCAGGCTGGCCAGGGCTGTCTGTGGAAACACAGAAGAGGCCGGACATCGTTTGGCTGGATCCGGGCCTCTAAACACTTGTCCTTTCCATGACTGGGTGACTCACGAAAATGATGGGTCTTAGAAGGCAAGGAGCACAAATTTAGAACAACCGGAAGAATAGACAAGTGGATTAAAGCTATTTACGAAAGAGTGGCATAGCGCAATCAGTGATATTTCGAAGGGTTAATTTCTGAATAATATATTGCACCTAAAATTTCATTTAGGGAATTCACAATTATTTTACCTTGACTTCAGAGAGATAATAGGTCTTTTCTTTTTTATTTAGGTTGAGGATTTTTCTTGAAGTTGAAGACATGAGGAGCAAAAGCAGGCATTCTCTGTCTATTAAATCCATGGGGCATCTAGTCCTTCTCTCGCTAATACTGTAAAGCCAAACAAATCATTATAAAAACCAGAAGAAAAAAAGGTATGACAATTTTGTGAGCAAGGGTCTTTAAGCCTAGTTAATAAAAGCATTCAGAGGAGACTGAAAATGGTGTTTCAAAATTGCCCTTTTTACTTGGTTTCTGAGCTTGAAAGGAAGCCAAACAAATAATCACCTCCCCCCCAAAAAAAATCTTCAAAATCTGCCCCCCAATATTAGAATTCTCAGGGCACAAGAACTGTAAGTGACTAAGTCATTTCCTGACTCCCTACAGGATTTCTGCAGATGAGATAGGCATGGCAAATGTCTATGTCTCAAAATGTCTCAAAAGAGAGCTTTTTTTTTTTTTTTCATGCTTTCTAATAGATTTGAAAAGCTGTTCTGGAAAGGTTGTGGGTCAAGACAATACCCAAGTATACCTGAAATACTGTTTGTGCCTTTTTGGCCAAGAAGTCAAGCAATTTCTAAAGCAGGACCGTTGGAAGCTCAGGATGGGTCTATTAATATTTTTTAGAGGTTTCCAATTCACAATGGGTGCATAAAGAACTCACTGATTAAAAAAAAATCCTTTCTACTTCTCATATTACAAGTTGAAAACACTTCAAATCTACTTGCTTAAATCTGAAAATCTGTTGCCATAGATTAATTTGTTAGGCTCAAGATTTTGCTGCCTATAGAGATTCCAAATCTCATGAGACACTTAATCATTTTATTGTAGCTTGCATAGTTTGAATGAGTAAACAAAATTCTTACTTGAGAGCCAGTACTGATGAGAGTCATAAGATGAAAGTCCTCTCTGGGGAGGGATCTTTGAAGGATAGAGAAGTCCTGGCTATTATTCCCTTCCACACTACATCGTTTTGTTGAGAGCCACCCTCATTTCAATCCCCAGTCTTACTAATCCTTCCACTAGAAGGAACAATTCAGGTTACTAATAGAGAGGCAGTGTAGCACACAGATCAAGTCAGACACTCCTGAATTCCAACTCCAGACTCATTTACTAGCTTGGCACTTTGGTTTTTTTAAACTTGTTGAGCCTTAATTTCTTCATCTTTACAATGGGAATAATAACAGCTACCTCATAGGATTATTGTGAGAATTTAATGAAACAACGTATATGGAGTCTTTGGGTAGTGCTCAGTCTATAGCAAATACTCAAAAACTGTTGACATCATCAACGTCATCATCTGTTCCAGTAGGTATGGTCTCTGCACAGAAATCATTTGTTATTAGTCAGTTGCTGCTCAGCAAGAGGCAGGTCTTTTTTATCCTGGGTTTTCATTTGTCCTTCTTTGAGTTATGAAAAATAAGGCGCACATAGCACACTGCCTGATTTGACCTTGGGGATAGGATCAAACTAACAGAGACACGTGTGCACCTCTAGAATTTCTACTGGATCTTAAACATGTCTCGGAAATTGTATCTGTGTCTTATTTAAGATCCAAAGTCCTGAATAAGAAGATATAAATAACCACAGGGAATTGTAGATGAATTTGGGTGGACCTAGACATCGGGGTGGCTCTTCAAGAGGTACTAACATTTCTTCCTTGTCTGTTTTAAAGCTGTGGATGTGCAGATCTGAGGGAGGAGAAAAGGACAAGGAACAAAGTTTTGGGCCTGCTCTCGCATCTTAAGGAATCTCTCGGGATTACTTCTTCAGGATTTACCCAGTGTGTGAACCTGACCCCGTGATATAACATTTGTGAACAACTCTGTGCAAACAATACAGTCTTGTTCCTCCCCTTCCTTCCAGCTCCCTGTGGGGTTTTCAGGGATGAGCAGTCTTTTCATCCTGAGAGCAAGCAGGACTAAGTTAGTATCTTACTTCCTTTTTCACTGTCTTTTCTTCCCCACCCTTTTCAAAATCTTCATTTAAGCATTTATGGAGTGAACAAGACAGGTCCTGATTTGTTGGTTGTGTACAGAAGTTGAAAGGAGCCAGAAAGAAAGAGAACCATTCCCAAACCTCAGGGGGTTTGGAAAATATATTTTAAGCAGAGAAATTCATTCAAAGGCACCTCTTTGCAGTATATGTAAAACGAACTATTTTTAAAAATCATATTGCTCTTCCAAGAGCCTCCTTGAGATTTATTTATAATAAAGCCAATGACAGTCAGTCTGAAAATGCAAATGTATGGGCCAGGGAGCTGAGAACATCACACATGGACCTCGTTTGCACAAAAGATTTGCAACTCAGATAATAACTTAAGAAATGACTTAGGTAACTTAGATATGACTGACTTGATTTCCCCATTTATGTTCTGTGGAAAGTCCAATGCCTTCTTCACATTTCTGTAAATCCCCAGGGGACTTATGTGCTCATGATCACCTTTGAGCTGATCAATTTACACTGAATTTCAGTTCACTTCCTGAATCCTAAGCTGACCCTATTTTGAAACAGTTATGGAACACAGCTTCTTTCCCTGATTATTACAATAATCCACTCACATGTGCCTTTTGAAGGTTGGTGAAAGCAGAGAAATAAGTGTTAATACAAAGCAACATAAACAACTTAAATTTGCTTGTTAGCCCTATCTGTCTTTAAAGAAGTCCTTCAGGGGGCCGGCTGAGTGGCTTAGTTGGTTAAGAGCACGAGCTCTAAGGAACAGGATCCCAGGTTCGATTCCCATATGGGCCAGTGAGTTGCTCCCAAGCTGAGCTGCTGCTGAGCTGCCAACAGGTGGCAGGATGGCTCAGCTGGTAAGAGCAGTGCTCCTAACAACAAGGTTGCCAGTTCATTCCTGCATGGGATGGTGGGCTACACCCACCCGCAACTAAGATTGAACACAGCACCTTGAGCTGCCGGCTGCCGGATGGCAACTGGACTTGGAGCTGAGCTAGCTGCACCCTCCACAACTAAGATTGAAGGACAACAACTTGGCTGTTCCCCTGCTCCAATTCCCCAACACTGTTCCAATTCCCCAATAAAATCTAAAAAAAAAAAAAAAGAAGAAGAAGAAAAGAAGTCCTTCAGATACCCTTCAACTTGGGCACCAGCCTCCTTAATGCAACTGGGCACTTCCGTTTCTCCTCCTCCATCTTACTCATTCTTAGTGGACACTTTATCAAGTCCTTCCTTCCTTCCTTCCTTCCTTCCTTCCTTCCTTCCTTCCTTCCTTCCTTCCTCCCTCCCTCCCTTCCTTCCTTCCTTCCTCCCTTCCTTCCTTTTTTTCTTCTTCTTCCCCTTTCCCTTCCCTCCCCACCCCCCACCCCCGATTGTCTCCTGCTTATCTATGCCCACACTTTCAACCCCCAAGACTTACTAAGGTATTTTTCT